TGGCTACACGTGCCGCAAAGCGGCACGTGCTCATTTGCCAAATTACCGTTATTCGACAATTTTTGCCCAATATTGTACACTTCTTTCCACTTAATCTATGAATTTTAGATTATTATTTTTTATCGCATTGGTGGCTTGTTTCTTGGGAGCAGTGTAAAGACCTAATGTTATCAAAGTTCTCAAGAAAATTTAAAAATGTTAAAACACTGCATTTAAAATCATGGTTTTATAATTTTTGTTCTTGTAAGATATATATGAAAATGGTATAATTAGTAAATTTGAATTTTTATCAATAAGAACATTAAAAATTTTTGAAAACATAGAATTATAAATTATATTCTCGAAGAAAAAAAAAATTTCAGAACCTTTTCACTGCTTAGGAGTAAGAAATTTTTAAATTAATTTTATCTTTTTTTTTGAAATTTCTTCCTTTGATATATTTTATTTATGTTGTAAGTGGAAACGAAATTTAAGTGGATTCGGAACTTACAGTATATAAAAAATCCATTTTCAGGGTTGATTTTATCATATATACACCCTAACCCTAACCCCAAACCCCAATTTAACTAGGAAATCCCTAACCCCAAACCCCAATTTAACTAGGAAATTCCAAATCCAGTCAAATTCCATTTCCACTTACGACATGCCGCATCCTATGGTTTTGAAGAACCAACGTGTTTTTAAACACCTTGGTGCAAACTATGTCATATGTTCTATAAGCAGGACATATATTGGAAATTTGACTCAGCTTTGATAAGTTACTATATGTCTTTAGTTTAGAGTGTGGAATCGATGAGTTTGACCGATGTTCGAATGTTTGAAAAAAAATTTGATGTAACATTTATCAATTTTAATTAATATATAATTTATCAATTATACCGCTATCGCTATATTACTTAATATACATCAAATTTATCAATTGTATTGCTATCGCTATATTATTTAATATAAATTTCTATGACTTGCAATTTGCTGTTTTGCATTATAAAACAACCTTATACTAATCCTAGATCTCAGGAATAGTAAAACCAATTGATTTCATATTACGTTTTAGAAACATCATCCTGCCAAATAACTTCGGCTTTAATAATGTTCTCTTCGCATTCATAAAATTTCCGCATCCGAGAACAAGCGTTCACTTGGTGTGCTTGTTGCAGGAACTGCGGGTGCATTAATAGATGTTTTTTATTTAATATTAAATTAAATTCCATGTTTTTACGGTAAATACGCCAATGTCAATTAGAAAATTTTAAAGATTTATTAAATCAATCTTTATGCAATTGTATTTATAATCATATTATCGTTATCAAAACAAATAGTTTTCACTGATGCTCGATGATAACCGAATTAAAAACTCAGTGAATAAAAGCTTATTTCGATGCTCGAAATTTTTGATCGATGATCGAATAATTAGCAATCTCTACTTTAGTTTCAATAGTTTTATTTAATGATCTTGAACTTTATGGAAAAGGTGTGACCCTGTGATTTCGTGATGATGATGGCAGAAAAATTTCCGAAATTTTAATTCCCTATTGATCATAATTTTCGATCAATAACGTTTATATGTTATTCAAATGCATTGTGATCTCTCAGAATTAATGTTCTAATATTCTTGTAATTCGGTCATTTTTAAAAAATTTGCAGTTTGAATGATTTATGAATAAGAACTCAGCCTCATTTACTTTTTTTTTATAAAATTATTTTTATAGATTTAATAATGATAAAATTTTTTAAATCAACTTGTTAAATGGAATTTGAATTCTCTATCCAACCGAGCTAGTTTAGAATTTCGTTGTAACTCGAATTGATTCGGAATCCACAAAAATTTCGACGTACAGGTCAGTACAAAACGTTACCCTTCTATCGGATAGTATGTCAATTTTCAAGTAAAAGAAAGTGGTAGATACAGCTAAACGTTTATGGAATAAAATGGTCTAATTATTTGTATCAGTAAGTTCTAATAGTGTTGAGTTGACTAAACTTTATGATGTTCTTTAATAGCGTTGCACTACTACAGTTATGACCCTTAACGTTAGTTAATATATATTTAACTGAGATCACAGAACTAGTAGTAGTTAGAGCTGAGTTTCGTTTAAATGTATAGCTAAAGACTTCAAACAGTCTGAACCTCTTTTCTATCCTCCTGCAAACAGCAGGATATATTTTTCAATTATAGATTTCCGATTTAAGCAATCCGTTACCGATAACGCTAACGAATTGATTATCTACGTACATATTAAACGATAAAGTTAACTAAATTTAGATTGTGATACATATCGATATGCTAAAAAAAACGTATTCAAGGTATCCGAGTAATTACTCAAATTAATTTGTTTCAAAAATGTCTTTTCAATTCTTTTTAAAATATTTAATTTACACGATCTTACTTTTTCATTTACTTCGATTTCGATTTCCTAAAATAAATGTTTTGGAAGTAATAATTATAATTTATTTTATAAAAAATTTATATAAATTAATCATATATACATTAAAAAATTCATTAATAAAATCAATAAATGAAAAAACTCAAAAATTATATTTTTGTAAAACTTTTCATGCTAGATTTTTTCCTAAAAAGCATGCTTTTGAGTATCCGATTTTATATATTGGAGTTGATTTAGGATTACTTGAAAAAAATGGGCGAGGGGGATTTATGTGAGTCTTTTTTTTTTTTTTTAATGATATTTATATAAGTTTCGTAGTTCATATTTAAAAAAATTAATCGATTCGTTTTTTTCTAATGATATTTGTATAAGTTTCGTAGTTCATATTTAATTACCGGTATTTAAAAAATTAATCGATTTGTTTTTTTCTTTTTTTTTTTTTAAAGACTAGGGTATAATAATAGAATGGCTATTTTTAATATAAATGATGTTGACTATCTTGGTCGTGTTAATGAACATGATCTTACCGAAGGCACGGCAAAAAAGAGAAGAACTATAAAAGAAAAGCTATTCTGGCATATCAAAAAACATGTAAATATCATTTATCTTTTTAAGAATTTATCATTTATCTCTTTAAGAATTTTAATATATATATTATTTACTCATAAGAATATATTAAACTTTTAATTATTTATATAAAGGATATATCAACGGAAAACCTATGTCGAGTTGAATTAGTTACAATGCCAAGATTTTGTGGTTATGCGTTTAATCCTGTTAGCATTTATTATTGCTACGATATTAACGATGAATTGAAAGTACTTGTTTTGGAAGTTAATAATACTTTTGGTGAAAAACATTTATATATTTTGGATCGTGATAATGAAGCTGATAAATCAATCAGACTTGGGTATGTATATTTAATTAATAAAATGATTTAACCCTTTAATTCGATAAATATACCTATACTTACTCTTATAACGTTTTTATAGGTTTGATATGAGTTTTACTATAAAACGTGCATTTCATGTATCACCTTTTAATGATCGAAAAGGCATATATAAAGCATTCTGTAAAGATCCTAAATCAGGGTACCTTGATATGAGACTAGTCATGTATACAGATCCTTCTCATTCAGATGATGTTCCTAGTGAAAATATTACCCACAAGAGTAATACGCCGATACAACAATTTAGAAAAAAAATGGTTGCGACAGCATCTGGTCACTCATATTCTCTAAACCTGATTAGTGTAATTTATGCAATTATGACATATCCATTAGAGATTTTCTTAACTATGCCACGTATTCTTAAAGAAGCATACAAATTACATTATTATAAGGATTTAGGAATATATCATAGACCTATTCCAGTCGAGGGAACTGTTGTGAAATTGGATCCAAATTTCATTGATCGGTAAGTATTAAAAAATATTTCTAATCAACTGTGCTTAAATAGTTTTTATTTTAAAATAGGTTTATTATTGACTTTTATATATTATTTTTAATAAATAGATATGCGCAAGAGATAATTACAAAATATCTTTTTCACCTTGTCTCCAGACATACTTCAATAATTAATATAACTATACATCTTCCAGATCCGAATATACCTCCAATTCAAATACATTCCGACAACTATAATGGAGATCTTCAAAATATTAAGCACATAAAGATTTCATTGCATAACTATTCATTTTTTACCAATATTTTAATTAATCAAAATTTTTATCGAGCGTTACTTATCGGATATTTTGAGAAAGCATGGGATTGTGATGATTTACCGTCGTTGATCGACTTATTTTTTAATCATTCTAATATTATTGAAGATGACCTAAAAGATAAGCATGATAATTCGATACACAGAGATAATAAACAAAGGTTAAGCTTTTATGAATCTAAAATCGCAATGATAAGAAGATGGTTTTGGAAAAAATTATTAACTGATGAGAATGCTGGAGGTATTAAATCGAAACAAGAATTTGATGAAATGTTACATTCACTTTGGCCAGCCGAAGGTGTAGATCAAGATTTTATCACCAGTATAGCACAGAATGATGTTTGTTTTGATCTAAGGCTTAAAGCAATTGTATGTTTTTTTATTTATATTCGCATATATATTTTAAAGAAAACGATTCTAATATAAATTTTATCAATTTGTAGATTAACTCCCACAAAAACGTTGCAATAGCACTCCGAGATCTCTTAATAAAAAACAACGAAAATAAGATATTAGCATTATTTGGATATACCCATTTATATCTACTGACCATTCCATCAAATAATTCGATTAAACACCTACAACCTTTAATTTCACATCAACTACATTTATTACCATTTCCACCACGGTACATTCCGTATGAAGGTAAAGAACCAATAGTACACTTAATTGATAGATTTGTGTTTTTAGATAATTATTCAATATTTAAAAAAAGGTGGGAAAAAATAAAATATTTGTTAATGGTGGGATTAATGGCATGCGCATATAAAGCAGATTTTAAATTCTGGAAATTGACTACGAGATTTATTGATGGGCCTAGTGGGAATCCATTTTTAGGTGAGAGGTGGTTGTGGGAGGGAGTGATTAACTTGTTAAAGGGCGGAAAAGATTATGAAAAAGAAATTTACAGGATTGACGATGAAGAAAAGAAAGAAAATAATAACTTTCTTGAAGGATGGGAAGTTGTTTATGAAAGAAAAGGTAATTTTTTTTCTTAGATTTTTAAACATTATTTTGATTTCCAAGTTTCATGTGACGTTTTTTAATTCAGAATACGTATGATTATTTACTTTAGCAAATAGTAATAAGCTTGAACTAATGACACCACCATCGCCTTTACTAATTCTACCAAGAAAAGATGAAATATTAAAAGAAGATAAACAATTTAGGTTATGGTATTTTATGAAATGTTATAGAAATAGGGTATTGTTTAGAAATAACGATCTTTAAAAATCTATAATTATTATTAAATGTATTTAACAACTTTATAAAATTTGCAATGCGTGAAATCGATAGATAATATATAAGATTGATTGAATAATCCTATAACGAAAGATTATGTTAAAATCACATATAAAAGAATATATATAGTTAATTAGCAGAAACTTGTGAGAAGAGACGTAAACTCAAATATAAATAAGTAAACATTGGAGTGTGGAAGAAAAAATTTGTAGAAATTGGCATTGGAATAAAAAGACTAGTAAATTTAAGATGCCATAACAATCACTTTGTCGATATTTATTCACTGTCGACAAGTTCATCTCAAATTACTTCACTGACAATAAAAATTTTATATAGCCAGCTACGCCCTAAAACGAAGAAACAATAATATTTACACCTTAACTCTTTATAAAAAAAAAAAAAAAAAGATTGATTATAAAGATTATATTGTGTTATGTGTATGTGTCGCTTTTGTTTATTAGCAAGCGATTGTCAATAAATTAATTATCAGCGAAATGAATTTGATGAATAAAATACGTTTATGAAATTTTATGAAATGATTCTCGATAAAATAAGCTGCGCCAGTTCATTCAGCTTTTGGATTATTAGAGTTTTATAAATTTGAGCGGAGTTGTATCCAAAGAATTGTTTGATAAATATATATCGAAAATATAAATAAAATTATCGCTTTAATCACTCTATAAATAATAACAATCACAAACTGATAACATGAATTGCCAAGAATTAAATAGATCAATAAGTACGTAATTGATTTAACTCGACTAGATAAATTAAAAAAAAAAAAATAGTTCTAAATTTATTGATGGATGCTTTCAATAATCTGATAAATATTATATGAATTATTTCATCGTAAATATATATAAAGTTAGAATGCTACTTTCTCAAAAATTCAAAAATTCATACAGTACTACCAAATTTCATTTACAATACTTTCAAAGATTACGAATATGTTATCCAATTATCATTGTGTCGTCTTCTTTATCCTAATCGCTGTACTCATGGTTAAAGCCTTTCCTAAACAAAATCTACGTGTCCGCAATCCCTGCTTTCCACCGATTGATACATGCGTTTCTTCCTGTGCTGCACCAAAATTAATTCAAGACTCTTCAGGTGCTTCAAGTAACAATTACGAATCATGTTTTTCAAATAATCATGCTCTCGAAAGTTGTGATGAGCTTGAACAACAGGTCGCCTATTGTAACCAAAATGAAAATAATTACAATCTCGTGTGCAAACGTACCCCCTTAAATAATTTACCAATCCACTACAAACAGCCTCTTTTTATGGTTCGCTCTTTGTTAAACAAACGATCACCTATAATCTTGGATATTGGAAGTGAAGGGTATAATCAATATCAGCAAGAGAATTTATGTGATTCAGATCTTGCGGAATGTTGTTCACAACAACAGCAACAAAGTATTTGTAATGAAAACGAAAATTCATTTTCAAAAGTTGGAAAACGAAATTTAAACAAAAGGATAATGAATATTGGATATCAGGGTCAAAAAAGGAGATTGAATGGTAGAAGTTATCTTAGTAACTGTAATGGGTTGTATAAGAGAGACGGAAATTATCCGAGATTTACGCGTTAATCCCTTCGCGTTTTTAATATTTCTGTATTACATTAAAACAAAATAATTTGATTTTGGCTATGACATATTAAATATTTATTATGTTATCGTTATGTATAGTTTATAATTTACTCAAAATAAACTATCTCAGACATAGGCTGATTTGTTTTTTTTTTTGTCTTTTCGATAAACTGTTAAAGTTTTGTTCTTAAGTGAACAAACGAAGTACTTGTCACAATCAATAAAAGAGTTTGTTTTACTGTAATATCTAATGTAAAATAAAATAAAAATAACTAAAATAGCTATTTTAAGCTATAGAATGAAGTACACTGACCGTTCCTTGAAAATATTCAGGTGTTTTAAGATTAGTTGGTAGCTACTGTTAAGGGTAGATTCGAATAAAAAAAAAAAGATTTTTTTAACCAAATGAAAAAAAATTTTTGAAACCCAAATATTTTTGATTCGATAAATAACTACTGCGGTTCAATAAAACAAACGTTATTTAAAAATGACAGGTAAAATTGTACAACATTGCATTAGCAACTATTGGTACTACTTTTCGTCAAAACTACAAAACTTGAGTTGCAGTCAGTCTTTTAAACTATCGACCCTTCAATCCGGTTTCTTGCATATGGTTAGAAGTTAGATCAAAAAAATCTTTGGGGCAAACTTCAACGCAAAAAAAAGATAAATTAATTTGAAGATTTATTACACACAAGAAAAACCACCCAAACACAAATAATAAGAATAATAATTTAAAAGGAAAGAAAAATACAGTAAGACCTCCCTAAGTGCACCCTCTATAAGTGCATACCCTCTCTAAATGCACGCTCAAGTTCCGGCCCAAATATATCCTTGACCTCCATAAATGCACTTTTTCTTATTATTCTCTATATGCACGTTGTTAAAGTGTGGTCCCAAGGGCGTGCACTTAGAGAGGTCTGATTGTATTTAACTATGTAATATAGTAATATATTCGGATTCAATATTGTAAAAATTTTGACGTCTAAGAAAAAATTTCTACAGTTGCACCTTCCCAAGTGCACATTACATAAACACATTTTATATAATTTAATTTAAATCTAAATTTGAGAATTTGCTTGAAATTTCGATTGCATTCATGGTTTACTAATATATTCGGAAAATTTTTGTGTATCATATAGCTTACTCGTATAAACGTCTTGAGAATGTGTTTTTTTAACCAACTCTGGTTTAATCTTATTGGCTTCCAAAATTTGTTTTTTGATTTCATTATCATCTTCTGAATCTATTTCTTCTAACCAATGTGTGATTATTTCCTTAATTTCTGTTGCAGTAGGTCGTTTATTAGAATCTTTATCCATACATTTCATAACTAATTTAATAAAACAGTCTGGTCCTAAACATTTGGGTCTTGATCCACCAATAATTCTTGATACAAGATCATCATTAAACGGAATTCCATCAAATGCTCTTTGTCCGGTCGAAATCTCTGTCGCAATAACCCCAAGACTATAAATATCTGATGCTTGAGTATACGGTTGACCCATCAAAACTTCAGGCGTTATATACGGTAGAATTCCACAAATTTTTCCTTCCTTTATTTCTTTTGAAAGTCCAAGATCAGTAATATACGCATAATGCAACCCATTTCCTTGCAAAATATTTCCGCTGTGTAAATCTCTGTGAACGAATTTCTGCGAATGGATCGACTCAAGATCCAAAGATATACAGTACAAGATACTCAATTTATCTTTCCATTCTAATTGTGATACTTGCGCAAGATTTTGTCGTAACGAACCTCTCATTGCATAATCCATAACAATAATATAGTCACCATGATTATTTCTTGATACTCCAACACATCCCAAGAATGAAGGATTCTCGCATCCAATTTCGCAGTGATTTTTTAATTCCTGAATAAGTTCTTGTTCATTTTCGTTTGAATCACGAATCACTTTAAGTGCACCAGATTTCCACGTATTATTAATTCTATCAAACCAACGTGCATAATATACAGTTGCAAATCCACCCTTTCCCTTTTCTTCGATATCTTTGAACTCATTATAATCAATCCAAGATAATTTAAATTTATCATCATCTAAAATTCTCTTAAGTTCAGGATTGATATGATCTGGTGATTTATTGGTTTTCAAAAGATTTCTATATTTTTTGAACCAATAATTTGCGCTTTGAATATCTCTCTTTGTACCAATACCGTTTCTATAAAATCGAGCAACATAATTCATTGCTGGGTTACAACCCATATTAGCAGATTTTTCATAGTATTCAAAAGCTTTATTGCAATCTTGATCAACTCCATGTCCATATTCATAACAAATACCAACACTACATACTGCTTCAACACTACCCAAATTAGCGGATCTCTTCCAATATTCAAATGTTTTCTTGAAATTTCTATTTACTCCAATTCCATAATAATAACAAATACCAACATCTTGCATCGCATCCGGATTTCCTAACTCAGCTGCTCTCATATAATATCCAAAAGCTTTCTTTTCGTCTTTCTCAACACCAATACCATATCTATAATTGTAACCAAGTGTACGGAGTTGTTTTGAATCCATTCTTTTTTCAAGAAGGAAAAAATATTCAAGCCTAAATGAAATACAAACTTTAATTTTCTGACGTGTGACAGAGGACATTTAATGTTTGGTTAAAGTGGTACAAAAGTTACTTATATTATGCATCAACAACGTATTTTTTAAGTTTTTATAACGAATATTTGTATTTTATTGTAACAACCCCAAAATTTTACTAATGAAATTGTAGCCTATTCAGATATAACTTAATGCCTCAGTCCTGATGCATTCCAACCTTTATTTTTGGAAATTACCCTGATTAAAGAAAATCTATCATAGCTTATCGAAAATTATTAATAGAGATGTATAAAGTCTACAACGTAACCCTGCTACAAGTACTTTGTAAATATGATCATCACTAATGTATTATATAGAAAGCTAATAAAAGTTTTGAAAATCGATTTAATGCTCAGAATTTAATTAAATATATGTTTATCATTTGTACACGTAATCATAAATTTCAATATATGACTTTTTTTTAAACATCATAATATTCTACAAACCTCTTTGGTATTTTTATCAAAGCAAACTAGCTGAAGTGTTGGAATATCTAAAGATAAAAAATATTTAAATTTGTGTCATAAATTCTTACATAGATGATTTAGAAATTTATGCTTTTTTTATCAGCCAAAATATTATGGCATGACAAAGATACTTTAGTGAAATCCAAATTCAAGAAAGAAAATGTGATAAGCCTACCATACATAAAAATAATATCAATTATAGATGAAAAACTTATAATTATTTGCGAGAAAATCGTATATTCGTAGAAAAGATAGTCACCTTTTAATTTCTCTTACTCCTTTATCAGTAACGCGCGTATATCCAACGTCAAGATATCTAATTTCCTATTGACAAACATAGATTTATGGATTGTAGACAATGATGCATTCTTGATACGCGTTTTATTTAAACTAAAATGGGTAAGTTCACGTAGGCCTATTAAATTTGTCTGAGTATTAATGGCATTGTATATTTAAATAATATATATTATGGGAATAATACCGTCTAGATAACAACACCGCATCCGTAATTAAGGCTCGATCAAAAAATAAAATTCAACTAAATTCTCTAAATCTACATTTAAATATGTATAAACGGATTATTAATGGTTGTAAATTTGATAATAACTATACAAATTTCATAAAATTAAAATATCGTTAAGGCTGACATTCCAACGTCAGTCAATTTCGTTTTTAAACAAGGATAAAAAGGTAAGATTAAATAAATAAGGCACGAAAATGAAATTTAGTGTTTAAATCTAACCTTTTGGCACCTGAAAGATGCATTCAGTTACATTGACTAAACCAGTCAGGCATTTTACTAATGGCAATTATATAAAGAATATATAATAAGATTAAAAACACTTTAAAAAAAAAGCAACACTTAAACCGAAAATTTACCAGAAAACTCTTATAAATATATCGCCTAATTCTTCCTCACAATTTTGAAAATTAATGAATTTAAGAGATTTGAACTCTAAAAACATAAATTTTATAATTTAAAAGCCTTAATTATTACTAGATGAAAATTATAAAGGTAATCCCTTTTTTTACCTTTTGCCATCCATTTTAACCCAATTGACCAATCAATGGTTTATATTAATATAAGCTATTGGAATATGATTCTGGTCACAAATCGCATCCTGGATAATCTCACATTTGTAAATTTCGAAAACTAGAAGGTTTACTTGTACGAGTGGAGATGTCAACTGTGCACTATCAATATTGAGACGTCAAAGATTCTGCAATACTGTTATAAATAGATAAAAAGATAATAGCTTCAAATTGTAGAAATTTCATTAAAAGTTCATCCAAATATTTACGTTGCAGGTCCGCAAAGACAGTCTTTCCTAATTCCAGGACAGTATAACAAGCTTAGTCTTCCAATGTAGATGCAATGGCGCAATATGCAAAAGAGTACACAGACCATTCGTAGCCACCTTTGTCTTTGATAGATTTAATGTTCTTAATTCTCCAATGTCTAAAATTTTGCATAAGTGCATGAATATCTTTTTTCGTAAAGCAATACACATGCCGAATAAAAAAAAAAATAAATACAAACCTTTAAAGAAAGGTAGGGTACGATCTCAAATCTGACAGCCAATGACATCAAGATATTTGAGATATTGTAACTCTATAATTTATATTGTGATGATATTAATAAATAGACCAATTTTATTTTAAAATATTTGCCTTAATAGCTTAACCAACCATCAGTTATCAGCTCACAATAGCGTAGACTGTACTTGATTACAGATGAATTTTGGAGATCGCTAATAATTTCCAACAAGGATCACTCGCCTTGAAATAGTTGCCTAGTGCGATATTCTGCAAATTGCTAAAGATTATAAACAATTAAGTCATTTATTTTATATTAATTTTATAATAATATCAATATTTGAATAATACCTAACGTATGTAAGTACATTCAGCCTAC